TTTTTTGAGAGGGGGGCTTAATGGAGGATTTACGGTAAGTATTGCCTATAGTGATGAATGTAGGGACTTTAGCTTGTCAAGTTTGTCCTTCGGTTCTATTCAATAACTTAAGAATACGGTAAACTAAAGACATGCCGGCCAGTACTTTAATACGTGCGAACTCTGATTAGGTAGGTCGGTGAGATTTATTATTCATTTATTCATTTCGCCAAACGGAAGAATTAACATTTGAAGGTAGAATGCAAAGCAATATTGCTACATATATCAAATGAATTTATCAGGAGAAAGAGATGAAAAATAGAAAGTTTGACATGAAACGGGTATAACGAGACTAGCGAGGAGGCCTTGAGAACCGCCATGCATGCACGCGGGAGGTTTCCTACCCCTAACGCATTTCATTCAAAGTTGTTTCGATGAAAACGTAATTAATTCACCAAAAACCTTTCCTGTTTCCCTGCTAGCAGAGGTCTCTCACGACGAGGCATTTTTGGCTCGTCGTGAGAGACCTCTGCTAGGAGGGAACTTTCCTGTTAAAGTGACAAACATTTTTTTTTGGACCATCTCGAGGCAACATAAAAACTAATCATTAGGAACTGCTTCACTGTTACACTAATTCTCTGCACTTAAAGTGTGACAATTTCACAATTTCAAAGAAAAAGGATTTTTTTAGGGTAAAACCAAGAAACTATCCGATAAAGCTGTAAATACAGTTACTATCATTGTCCTGCAGTCTCCTATTCAATAAAAATGTATTAAATTAGAGTTAGATTTTAAAAAAAACTATGAGATGATATTAGTTACCTAATAATGAAGGTTTATTTCATTTTAACGAAGATGAGCAGTAGGTCTGGTGTGGTGTTTTCTCCTACACAGGCTTCCCAAGGCTTAGTGGGGAGAACGGACTTTAACAGAGGGGTGCTGGAAACGAGTGAAAAGCTCGAGTGTGTGAGGGGGGGGAGGAGGGCGAGGGGAGGGTGCTAGGAAAGAGTGCATCACTCCCGTCGTCCCCGCTTTCCTTAATGATTAACTCAAATATCCTCAAAAAAGGGGCGCTAGCTACTGGGGACAAGGAAGAAAGGCCTGATAATAATGATGATGACGATGATACTAGTAGATATGGCCATAATGACCATGCTGAAGATTATAATTACGATTGTCTTTGTGATGAAGACTACGATAAAGATGATAACGATAATAATGATGATGTGAGAATGATGACGACCACGATAATAATCATGAAAGTGATGTTAATAAATATGGTAGAGGGAGCGAAGAGGATATGTTTCTGTCGATCTACTATCAAATTCTTAAAAATTGACAGGAACATTGAAGCACTGTTCATTGTTAAATGTACCATTTTAGTTACTAATCGGGAAGTAGACCCTTAGTTTCCTTAAGTTTTGAAAAGTGACGTAAGTGTTATGATTCACTTGTTAACATTCAACCAAAATTGACGTTTTCCTGTTGTTGTTGTTGTTGTTATCTGTTATTCACCTTTATGTTCAGTGCTCATCAGTTAACTTGAAGTTTTAAAACACACTGTTTTAAAATTCCAAGTCGATTGTGACGAGACGTCAGTTGATACTGGAAAAAATAGGAACATGTTATCCTTATTACGATCGGCATTTAGTGTCCGTCTTAGAGAGATGTCCGTCTTATTGAGAGTCAAATAAAGGGAGTAAAGAAAGGTTGGGATCAACTCAAGGTGTCCGTTTTGCAGAGGTGTCCGTCTTATAGAAAGTCAAATAAAGGGAGTAAAGAAAGGCAGGGACCAACTCTAGGTGTCCGTTTTACAGGTGTGTCCGTTAAGAGAGAGTCGACTGTACATTTTGTTTCTGGTCGGCAAACTGTAGACATCAACCGTAAGGTATAATAACGTTTATGTTCTGTATTCTCTTTACTAAATGTACATCCGTTTATACGAGGGCAAATCAGGTTAAAGAGACTAATCGACTTCTCTTGCCAGTGTGTTTCTGTGTGTTTTGCTGTACAAAATTAATAAAAGCTAACAAATGACGGCAGGCCAGTGCAATTAAGCCGCAACACGCACTGCACTAAGGTTAAAAGATAGCAAAGGCTTTCGAAGTCTAAGAAAGTCATTAAACACGATAGAAAATAAACGAAAATACAGAAATGCTTTCATTACATCTATCTGATTTATATCACCTCATTTAGAGCTTTTTTTTGACAGCCATCATGAATTGAAGATCTCTTGAACTGGCAAAACCTTAGTCAACACTGCTACTCTAGTATGCATAATAATTATAGAAGCACATTAGCTCTATAGGAAAGGCTTTTACACCATATGATAAACGTTATTTTTCCTAAATGTATTAATCGAAAGTCTAGGAAGTAAATAGTCATAACAAATCTGCGATCTTATGTACACAGTAAAACGAAAGTCTGGAAACAAATTCTCTCAATGGAAGAACTGTATCTAAGGCAACAAGATTTCCTCCCAGACACCCTTCTACAGTATTAAACCTGTAGATAACTTTGAAACTACCTCGCTGAATTAAGATGGTTAAGAAAGCATCGCTTCTCACAGCAACTCTTATTTTGATATGTATGACAATAGATCGTTCTTCGAGAGAGGTATCAGCCGTCAATGAAGCTACAAAAAATACGTTTAGATGTAAGTTTGCAAATGTATATGTTTTTGTATTTGGTATGCTTTTTACAGACATACCAGATTTTACATACACTTAATGATAACAACAGTTTTGGTGCAAATGTAATCCACATCGCCGGAGTTTGTCCTTGATCTTCCCTTAAGTGATTTAAGTATTTTCCCTGCAAGATAGAGGTCTGTTATTATCCGGCAATGCGTGAATCATATTTGTTGCCCATCCATGAATCACCCGCACATTAAAAGCTCTTAAGCAAATCCGCAGGCTTTAGGTTACGTGGGGATTCTTTTCTTTCTTTATTTTTAATTGGAAAAGGATTTACTCTGACTTCTTATTAAGCACACATGAAAAGATTCCAACTGATATGAGGAAGGGCATTTTTAGTAGCTCATTCTGGTGTTTTCGACATTAAAAATTTTCTCAGTGATTTTTACAAATTTATGACGTTCCTGCAAACAGACATGACTGACCTGCTCGGTTCATATCATTTTCCCCAGAATACGCTAAAATTAGAACGGACTCAAGCCTTCAAGCTAGCCTGGGTTGTGGCTACGGAAAAAAACCAAACCAGTCGGCATCCACTTTCTAACTAGACCACCGTTAAAAAGAACAGAAGACACAGCATCCTAGTTCTTTCAAGAGTTTACCATCCTCGAGATCGTCCTCGTCAATAATATGCAGATCTCCTCTCCGCATTTCCCTTGCATCCCTATTATTTAAGAAAGTGAAGGGGAGAGGGCGCTTATTCGAGGCGGGGGCGCTTGTTGGATATTATGGCCCGGTACACGCATTTAGCCGCAACCAAACTGAAATTATTACCATGAAAACGGAGAAAAAGGTTTGCGCACGAAGAGTGCTTCAAGACTCCATTTTGTTTTAGTCGTTTGTAGAGTATCTCAGCTCTTTTTGTAAAAACACGGGCGTAAAAGGGACCATGCGCCCATACACAGTATTCAGTCACAAAAAGAGCAGCCTCAGAAAGATTGCACCATATCGTAATAAAAACTATCCTTACTTTTTAGGTCAACCCCTAACCAACACCTCTTATAGTTTACCTGTCCTTATTGAAGAAACTTTGATTCACGATCTCTGTCTCTCCCTCCCGGCTCCAGGCAGCCAGTGGTAGGGAAATCTCCAGTGGTCTGCATTTCACTAGTTGGGCCGGGAACAAAATACTTCTACTACAATCATGGCCAAAAGTCTTGGGATTCTTGTGCATTTCTGGGAAGTTTTCTTATTCACACATGCCCAGCCCCTCCCCTCACCCCACAAACAACGTTGGACGCGTGTATCCGGAATTTTTTCCCGAATTTCAACTTAGTATAGGGTGGGGGGAGGGAGAACTGCAAGAACATTTCGAAATTAAAAGGAAGCACTGTTCTATGAGACAAACCAGAAATTACAGAAAACTATTGAATACTGCATTACTGTCCAAAGGAGTTTTGTCCAGGATTGTAGGTATTTCGTGCTAAATAAGCCTGCCCGTCTGACTCCACCCATCTGGTAACATCTTTGACTCATCTGCACCTGACCCTTATGATTAATCTTTCTCTTCCTTTCCTAGTTTTGTTCAATTTCTACCAAAAACCAGTGGCCAGTTTGATAAAGAACTCAAGCGCCACTGAGGATCACGAGGAGAAGTCTCCACAACTCAAAAAACGGGACAACATTGCCACACCCACTGTTGAACCGACATTTAAAACCACCACCATCAACTTTCCAGTTAACAGCTACATGGCCAATGTCATGCTACAGCTGTTCGGAAAGGAGGGAATTCTAGAAAAAGGTGGATTTTACAGAACCGGATATATTCATGAAAACGCGACAGCTTCAATCGTCCTGCTTGAAAGTTTCCAGAACAGATCAGTTCTCTTACACGAAATAATGCAAGCTCACGGAGCGCCGATTGGTGGAGGTGCACTTGCGTTAGTCGTACAGTTGTTTTTCACGCCGACAGATTTCCGACGTGTGACCGATTGGCTCCGAGAGGATATACGGTTAGGATATATAAACTATGACGATCCTTGCTCTCCGATTGTGAAAATAAAATTCGTTTGCTGCACCAAGATTGCAAATCCATTTCTGGCACCAAAGTTTGGAACGCTGAGAGTAGATATCGATTAACCATATGGGTTTGTAAAAATGTGGTCTAATTCGGGACGGGATGAATTAACCACAAGACTTAATAAAATGGTACCTTTGTCACGAAAATAACTAGTTTATAATAACAGTTTTATTTCCAAAGGGATAGTATTTATCAAGGCTTACGTTTTAGACGTAATGAGGGACTGAAATGTTAAAACAGCCAATGTCTCTTCTTGATCTTCACTCTTTCCGATACCCAATGGTCAAAGATGTCGATGAAAAAATGTTAAAGTTATGGGGGAGGGAATTTTCGAGCCGTATATTTTTTTTAAGGCCAGCGCAAAAATAATTTTGGAGCCCTGTTGTAGAGAAATTACTCCATTAATTGTGCGCAGTCGTTAAGAGAACAATTTTAAAACATGAGTTGAATGTTTTTTGAAGATATCTGACTAAAGTGAACGCGGAACGTTTTGCCACTCAATATTTTAACAAAATATTTCAAGATCTTAAGACTTTGACAATATTGAATAACATGACAATTAAAGAGAGCATACGCATTAAGCATCAAATAATTAATAGCTTGCATTTCACCTAATTTAGATTAGAAAACCCTGGCATACATACAGTCACCCTCTGTTGCAAAATATCAGAGTGAAAAGAAAAAAATGTGGAAATTCAGAAATGCAGAAATGCAATGTTAGCTCATTCTCACCGGGTGAAAGAGGATTCAAGGGTACCCTAGAGAGGATGTCCTTTACCCTCTCTTGAGAGTACATACTACTCATTGACAATAATCAGAAGAATGACGTTTTCCTTTGACTTTGCAATTATCCTTCTAATTATTTTGTCAAGCTCCAAACAACCCTTAATCCTATGCATTCGCCTCCGTTGACTTCATCTTGTTTGACTTATGGCGGCGTAGTATTTACATCACAAACCAATTCAGCATGACACTGTTAACTCATCTTTTGCTTAATTCAGGCTCTTGAGTTGTAAATAGTTGGAGGAGAAACTTCTTGTCTCTGGATTCCTTTAGGGAATTGAAAAAAAGACGGGTATTACTTAAATGACAAGCTAGGAAAATTGAAGAAAGACAGTTTAGCTACAGTATCAAGGTCTATTAGACTCTATAAAACTTCTAAAAATAGTTATTTAAAAAAGGGGTCATCAACGGTCTTTCGTAACTGATACGGGTTTAGATCGCTTGGCATTTTCCGACCTTAATTTTCATGAACGAGTCCTTTTGCGAGTTTTAAATCTTTATCTACCATAGAAGCTCGCTCTCATCCTGCATGTCGGGCCTAAACTTCTTCCCCAGGGCTTTTCCCGTTTTTTAAGGGAAAAGCCCTGGAGACGAGGTTGGTCGGGCTGGAGTGACTTCAAAGACTTGACGCAATTCAGGCAAAGTCTACGTTTCTCCTTCGCGATCAAAAAGAAGAAAAAAAAGGCTCTGCTCGCAAAGTGCAGTGAAAGAGTACTCATTGTGAAATCTTTTCCCCCCTATCCACTTAAGATTTCCACCTTTTTGGTACTTTATTAATCAGTTTTGTAAATTGTGATGTGATTAAATTGTAATGACTGATGCATACCATACTAAGTTCTTCTCTAAGACCAATGATCATTCGACGATAAACCTTCGCAATGGCGTAGAAGAAGTACAATCCAAGACTGAAAAGAGAAACTAATTGGTCACTGAGTTATCTATTTACTATGTGCAAAAAAGGATGGCGATCTGAACTCACTGTTAACCACTTGGCCCCGGTTGATCAATATCCACCGGATAAATCGCGATCCAGCGGATAACTATTATGGAAACCAAATTGCGTCAGTATAATAATAATAATAATAATTATCATTATTATTATTATTATTATTGCTTGATATTGCGCAAATTAACTAAAAAAGATGATCAAATGCGCATTACAATAATACTGATAATAACAAAGGCTGACTAATTAACAATTATTCCTCGAACCCGAAAGGGCTCTGAGTCAATAGCCCATGAGGCCGAAGGCCGTATGGGCTATTGACTCAGAGGCCATAAGGTCGAGAGGAATAATTGTTTTAGTAAAATCCAACCAGTGGGTCAAAAATATCGAGAATAAAAAAAATTTAGCTAGTTAAAGCTAGACGTCAATCCTTTTTTGCCGCAAAAAGCCGGCGCTTTTCGCTACTAGGGTCTATAACATAAAGCTTAGTAGTAGCTCAACCAATCAGAACGCAGCATTGATAATAGACCACTAGTTGGATTTTACTAAAATACCATTCGTTATATCAAATAATTACATGAATAATAAATAAATAAGTAAAAATAAATGAATAAATAAATGAATATGTTTCACAGAATTTATCCAAAGAGAAAAAAATATGTACGTCTAAATTAGGATTGGTTTGAAACATCAACATAGCCGCCGTTTCATCATTTTGGAAAACCAATATGGCAGCTGTGACGTCAAGTGAAAACGCTCTATTAGTGTACTCGTGTTAGCCAATAAAAGAAGCGCTAGCGTCCTCAAATCAGTCCCGTGGTACAATTCGACGCAACACTGACCCAGCCTAGTGTACAAACCCAAAACGAAAATTTTGTTTCAACCGTTTTCTGAGCAGCCAGGTGCAAAGCGAATATGCCCTCCAACATCCATGCTCCAGATTTATGGAATTGCCTATAAACACTTCATATCCCAAAACTGAGCGGTAAATTTTGAAACAGCGTAATTTGTCATGATTCCTCCTTACCAAATAACTACTCCAAGCACCACGAGAAACACTGGTGAACTAAGAATTCCAAACGTGCTGCGTAGCCCGCCGGGAAGAATTGATACGGTCCATGGAACGATGTCATAAACTTTATTCAATCCTCTGTAAAATGAAACATTAGGGCCATTTATACGAGGAAAAATAAGACGCGTCTTACATAGGACGCGTCTTAAATAAGACGCAAACTTTCCGTATAAACGGCACATTTCGTCTAAAATAAGACGAGGCTTAGATAAGACGCGTCTTATTTTAGAACAGCCCTTAACACCTGTCCTTAGATAAGACGCGTCTTAGCTAAGACGAGAAAAACCTCGTATAAATGACCTTCGCGTCTTACATAAGACGTGAACCCATAGTACGCATGCATTAATTTTTGGCGCGCCACGTTGGACTGACGTTGCTACGGGCAACATTCACATGAAAACGAGTCAAGAACAGAAATAAGACGCGAACCATTTATACGAGCTGTTCTCGTCTTAGATAAGACATGCTCGTATAAATGGTACAGTTCGCGTCTTATTTAAGACGCGTCTTATGTAAAACGCGTCTTATTTTTCCTCGTATAAATGGCCCTATTGTTTTTTTGTTACATTTAGTTACATGTAACACACTGACTACATATCAAAAACAAAATTTTAAACCCAAAAATAGGTCAGACAGATGAGAATTAATAGAATTATCGTCAACGTTCGTATGCTACTCAACAACCTCGTACCCAGGGTTCACTCTCTTGCTTCGAGAACTAACCCTGGTTGCGACTGGTCACTTGGAAATGTGGGCACAGGGGAGGTAGGTCCTCCACTGAATTTTGTCGACTGGACGATGAAAAACTATTTGGGGTAGGGAGAAAGTTCTTGCTTGAAAATGGCTCTTGAGTTTCTCAGTTGCGTGCAAACTGCGTTGCTTCCGGCTAGTTACGATAACATTATTTTGAAGGCAAAACAGGATATTGTTTAGAGAGTTTGTACTTGAAAAAAGATTTGCTCGCCGTCCAGCCAACAGGATACGGAAAATCTATCTCGATTTGCACGAGCAAAATCAGCTTTTTGTAAAATTGCATACTCCTCACGTGCATTTCATGAAAAAGAAAAGATAATGCAAAAGACAGGTTTACATAATCACCACCCAGACAGCAGTTTAAAGATTGTATGGTATTTTCCGCTTTGGTTAATTTATCGGCTGGTGCACGATATACCAAGTAAATAGCCAACCTCGTTCCTAGGGTTCTCTCCCTTGCATTATGCAAATAACCGCGCCATCAACTGAAAATAAACGAGGCGGCAAACTCCTCTCGGGCCCCGACAGAGTAACTTTTTCACAGCGACAATTATTAACTCTTCTTCCCCTTCCTTATTTTTGTCTCCTAGATTTTGGGAGCCACGTGACCAGCCGCAACCAGGGTTCTTTCTCAAAAGCAAAGGAGAGAACCCTGGGAACGTGGTTGGCTAATCAACACAATGCGCTTCTCTGACGGCACTTAAAATTATCGTGTGAATGATACGTTTAAAAAAATTGAAAATCTACTACTTAAATTAATTCCAAATAATTCCGCTTTCAAAAGCAGTGGTTATGAACATTACATTTATCTGATAGTCAACAAATAAAAAAACAACACCTTGACTTCAAGTTTTACTTATTTCTTCATCTTTTCGTCAGCTCATTTGTTTTTATTATTAGAGCTGTAAGTGTGTAGGAAAAGACCGCTGTGATATCTTACCTAAAAGGTCCGTACAATTCCGACGGGCGAATTCTAATATATAACAAGAAAACACGTGAAAAAAGAACAACAACGATTTGTCTTGGTATCAGATCAAAACATTAATTAGAATAGTAGCTAATAATCAGGAATTTCTACAACGTCAACCCAATCACAAATGCCACTAAAATGGAAAAGTGAGAGTTAACAGCGTGGAGATGTCTCTTAAGAAAGAAGTCTGAATGCATGCAGACTATGGCATTGAAAGCCAAGCCGGAACAACGATTTAGTAATTCCTTTGTTTTAAGAAGCAGTATCAGCAGTAGAAAGGGTGACTATGTTGACGCCAACGTTATTTACCAGTCCCGGACCTACGTGGTGAAACATTACCCGTGATATTAGGCGCAGCATGGTTTATTGATTAGTTAAAATAAAGGATATGATGATGATGAGGTGACTGGCTGAAGATTGGAAAATTAGTTCATACCATTTTAAGAAATGACACGGGTAGTAGACACGCGATAAAAAATTCAGTTATTTAGCCCGATGTCGAGAAAGAAAAATCACACTGCTACAATACTGCGCGCAACAGTGCCCACCTCCTCCCAACCCTTCCCCTCCCCAAGTTGGCACATAATGCAATTTCATTGCGCTTTAATCATGAAAGTAATGCTTACTGTGTTATCCCATAAGCCACTGCCGCCAGACAAAGGAGGAACGTCCCAAGTAAAAGGATCATAAAGAAGTAGTTTGACCTTCCTGCTCTGTACGCCTTGCCACTTCTACAGTTGTGAAGTACAGTAGCCTGGATAAATATACGATAATGGATTTTCCTTACTTTATTTGTTATTTTCGACATAAGGTTTTCTTTTGTCCTCTCATAAAAAGACGAAAACGGTGGGATATATTATAGCATGCTTGTAATTTTAACTAGCAATCTTAAAATCATAGTGGAAGGCAGTGAAATGGCAAATGAGGACTATATCTTTAACAGGCCGTACTTTGAAAAAGTGGCTAAGAAAAACACGACTGAAATATCCGGCCTACCTTTTTAGCATAGAAAGTGATTGGCAATTTAATGATCGCCATTAGCGGTAGAAATGGGCTGTACCATGTTCCAATCCTAAAATATTGAAAGGGAAACACAAAAAAGCGTGAAATTCCACTGTGAGCGCGAGGTCGCGGGCTCGATTCCCGGGACAGGACCAATACTCAGGGTCTTAAAATAACTGAGAAATGAAGGTACTGCCTTTGCCCAGCAAATGGCTTGACCTTCGCGTGGATTGGATGACCTCGTAAAATAGCGGTCCCGTCTCCAGTAAAAGACGTACAAATAGTGTCCCCAATTAGTACTTTCGTGCTAAATACATTGATACTCAAATAAAATACCTTTTTATAATCCTCGGTTCAAATTTTTCTTTATTTTGCGTTTGACTATCATGGTAGCAGGTGATAATGAGTTGAACTACGAGGAATATACAATAAGCCATTTCTGAGTTGCTCCAAGCCTCTGTTTCAAAGCGAGGCTAAGTGCAAAGACATCTATTGATATGAAAATGATTTTTAAACATGAAAATGAAATTCATTCTCGCAAGGAAGGTTTCGCAATTAGCCTCCTTAAAAAAGTGAGAGATGTTAGAAGTTGGAAATCATGGCCTACAAGGATAAAACGGAACTGAACTGAATGTCACGTCTTTTACTTCTGCACGTGAATTATTTTCGATTTGTTAGAATTTAATTCAATAAATGAAAACTTTACCATATCAACGACTGCCCATAAACAAGCTCAAGTACATTATCTGGAAGAATGAACTCCGGGCGACCAATCTTCTTTCCAGCATCGCATCCTAAATATATATAATCCGCAAAGTACCTAACAATGGACAAATAATATAGTAAGTTGAAACACGATTTGCTAATTAAAATTTCTTGAGAAAATTCTTAGCTGAAGCTATCCCTACGGTCAATTTGATTTAATCTTTTTCACATGAATAATTAATGAGGTTGCGAAATATAGTCTGTGACATCAAACACGAAAATGACTGTTTTGCCAGGTATTCAAACTCTAAGTAGTGGGTGAAAAATAAGGCGCAGCAGTCTTTTAACCTATTCTTTTTCCGAAGTATTTACCGAAGAAACCGGCACCGTTCCGTTCGAAGCACAGTGACTAGAGCGCCGTTTCTGGACTATCAAAATCAGAAACAATTCTCTATCAGTTCCTGGTGTAGTGTAGCTTCTTCTTCTTCTTCAGAACTGTTCTTCGTTATTGTCATGCTAAGCTACACTGATTACAAGAATAGCGATAATACTACCTTAAGAATTTCTAATACTCGTTTGAACCTTGTTACATTATAATCATAGCACGCACCTTCGAGGTGTTTGAACAGCAATTATAACGAAGAGTGTGACGAAGAAGTCGCTCAATATCAGCTTGTAGATTTCTGCAGCAATCACGTTCTCCCAACACTGAGGGAAAAAGAAGAGTTAAAACGTGTGAATCTGTTTGTGGGTGAGTTAACCTGAGATTAGGCCCAATTTGAGCGGTTCTCATACATTCTCTCTAACGACTACCGCTGAAATTGGAAACGAAAATAGAGCCTGATCTCAGGTTATGGGTGAGTGCAGTTTTTGCCCTTACACGAGCAAAAAACTGCTTCCAAGAGAAAACATGTTCACTGATTCACGTGACCTATCGGCACGAGATCGAATTGATAAGTCTGCCCCATAGTCACCAAGTAGAGATTTTTAGAGCTTCCAAAGAAGCACTAAGAACGTCTTCTATAGAGGCTGTTCACTTTCATAACTGAGTTAAACAACAACTGATTTTGACTCACCAACATACAGGTGCTTTTTATCCTGTTGTATAAAGAAATTACAAGTACAGCAACCGAGGCCAATTTCAGTAGCACCGTTCTGAAAATATGTAGGGATAAATGAATTATTATGAATTACTGAGTTTGGTGAATACGACGTCATAATTCCAATTCTTACCGGGCTAAATCAATGTTGACGTGGACCCTTGGATTCCAGTCCTCTAAACGCGAAAGAATGTAAAATATGTTGGGAACAATGAAGCCTAACCCTGAGAGAGTTATAGGGGAGGCGAAACTCTTGAGTAGTTGCATTAAATCTGTTGTTGTTGACGCTTTGATATCCACATCAACTTGAGATGTCTATCATATAGCCGGAAAAAGACATAAAACAAATAACGTCAAAATCCTAAATTAAACTGAAGAAAGATTTATTGAATAAATTCAATCATTAAAAGAAACGCCAATCTTGTTTTGCCGCACCCTTCAGATCAATAGAGCGTTTTCACATGACGTCACTTCCGCCTTAAACGGCGGCCATCTTGCTGTTCCAAACCAATCCTGGGGGAAACTTTTCATAGCTGCAGGCCACGTGAGTGAAAACGCATTATTCAAAGAATGGCTGCACTGGTCCACATTGGGTTGGGGTCTTTTCTCAAGTATAATCCGAGAATTTAATTATATCGGGTGTTCTTAGTATGTTTTCAAATCTAAGTCTCAATCTTGTTATCAATCCGAGGAAAACCGAAACCAACCCTTAAAAAACATTCACATTACTGAATCCCGTACAACTTTTGATAGAATTTCTTGTACATGACGTGGTTATTAAAGCCAAATTTAAGATTTCACACTTTTTGACTTAATATAATGACACATTGTTTAGCTCGTTTATTATTTGTCTCACAGAAGTCACTTTGTTACTGATCGCGACATTGGCTTTAATCAGGCAATAGTGTCGATTTACTGGGCGGGACTGCTAGTAACACCGTGATTGTTTGTGACTGGTGCATTTACCAACCTCACACGTGGCTGGTGGGTTTCGAAAACCCGCAAACAAGAAAAACAGATACAATAAAACCCCACGTATAAGAACCCTAAAATTTACGAAACCTCTCAGGCTGAAATTTTCATTTTAAGCACCTTTCACATAAGAACCATTTCAGGCTGAAATTTCAAAGTAGGTTCTTAATTTCCAAAGTTCAATAGAAAACAATAACATGTGCATAACTTAGCACTATCTTGTATGATTTATGTATGTAACTAGTATGAAAATGTGTGAAAAATTTAAAATATAAGGCCACGCCCACCAATATAAGTACTTTTTTTTCTTACCAAAAATTAAGAATCCATTTAAGAACCTAGATAGCCTGATTTCAAGTTAAGCACCATTTATATAAGAACCTGTTCAGGATGACTTGGGAAAATGTAGGTTCTTATACGTGGGGTTTTAATGTAGTACCTCTCAGTGAGGCCCTTGGAATATGTATGGAGAAAAGGAGAAAACCCTGGGAACTTTCTAGTAGCTGAGCCAATTTTTTATTTCTCGCATAAACGGTCCGCCAAGTTTTATAACGAAATTTATGAAGAGTTGGTTTGCTCAGGGTAGCTCAAGTAGGCGGTTACACTTCTACTCAAGACAAGTTTTCTTCATGTAAATGTGTTCGCCCTAGGCCTACTGAGAGAAAAGCCCTGGGAATGAGGTTGGTAAGCGTGGCCTAACTCCACACCTGATCACTTGACTAGCAGTATACGCAGCGGTCGTCGTAGCGTTGCCATCAATTAAAGTAACTTTATCATGAGACACTAACTATAATGATTAGTCTATCATGCACGGAATATCACTATTAATAAAATCATTCACTGTAATAACACACCACTGTTTATTACCTGTATGGAAATTTGAGCGGCCATAAAAATCAAGTAGGCAGACAGCGCTGATAGCCCCAGAACAATTAGATTTACCACAGTTCTTATTGCGTAGATTTGGTACTTTTCCTTCGTTGTTCTCTTGGCTAAATTAGCAAGTCTGAAGTCCTCTGCTAGATCGGCCTGGAAATATGTGATGAAAAATGAGCTATGAACTACAATGCGAGTACAGAACCTTTCCCAACTTTTTCTAAACGCCACAGTTACAAAAGGTCCGAAAGGTGTTAGTTCACGCAGATTGTGAATCGAGGCTGGCGTCAGTCATATACTTAGACAAACTTTTTCTCCCTGTTACCAACTGCTTAAATTTGGATGGTGCATGTTCTGAATTTATGCCCCATAAAAAATGTGAAGTGGGCACAGAATATGCTTTAGATATAACCGTTGGCAATGGTGCCAACCTTGTAAGTTGTGCATCTTTTTGTGGCTCAATGTCCTCGTGTGTGCACCGATCATGCTGACTTCTTTGCCTGCAATTACCCCTCTATGCAGTGCACTCTATATTTTGTATATTGGCTTCTCTCTACAGTCCTGCTATCACTTAATGTATTAATACAAAATGATCGTTCTTGATCGTGCATGGTGGTATTTAAAAACACTGTGACTTGTCCAGTGATTATCTTCTTGCAAAGCTCAGAATCAGCTAACCATAGTGAGCAAATTTTTTGCGACCTTCAGTCTGTGCTGTCTTCTCCAAGTAATTCAAACGTACCTCTACTTCTTTAACAAATCTCATAGTCTGCAGTTTTGCCGCAGAATCCTCATCAATGCACATGTCCCAGCCGCCGAACACTTTATTGGAGTACGTGTGAAAGTATTTACTACCTTCCTTCACATAGCTCTCTTCGAATATTCTCGAAGCACTGAAACAGAACAGAAACGATTTATAATTATAACAATGCAACAAGTACTGATACCAAGGCTATGTCCACAGGAGTACGTTCATTTTGTTAGGGTTTTTAAAGACTTCTACGCTACACTGACACTGACGAACATTTAATTACCAGTACTTTTAGACCGTTCAACCGGTCAGGTTTCTATGTCAAAATAAGGTTACTGTTCCTTAACAATTTCTCTTACCTCCAAAGGATTGAGAGTATGATCACCAAAAAGCAAAAGCAGCCCACCAAAAAATACGCCAGCGGCATGTTATAGTAAGTTCTTTCGTCACCAATCACCACTACCTTGTCAGAGTACTTTCCATAATACATAAGAGTCGTATTGATCCAGCCCTGCGAAATAAAATAAGACTTATTCAATTGTAGCTAGTGACCCCGCGCCATCATACAAAGAGGAGGGCGTTTGTTGTAATCCCTTTTTGCTATGTTAAAATATTTTAACCCGGGGGGTGGGTATTCCCTTAAATAAGCCATGTAGGTATGTGCCACCCCAATGGGCCAGTGAAGGTTTTAGTTTTCGCCTTTTGGGTCTGAAAACGGGTATAGAGTTTGCCCATTTTGGTCTGGAATCGGGTATGGCTTTCGAGGGAACTTCGGGAGTGCATGAACGTACTGTATTTGTCATTTCATCCCAAAATGAATAAGAAAGAAAGAGAAATATGCGAATTCGAAATCGATTTTAACAAATCTTTCTGTTGTTGTTCTAAGCTAAGTAACTGATGGTATAATTTCATAGAGGCAAGGTCTGAAAATGGGTGTGGAAAATGAAATTTTTTTGGTCTGAATTGGAGGACCGGGCGGCACACCCCCACTAAGAATTTCCGAGAATAACCCCCCGGGATTTTAACGATTTCTCTATACCAACTATACTTGTAATCCAAGGCGTGTTCAGCAAGACAAGGTACCGGTATCCAGTTGTAGGTGATGAAGATGATCAAATGAAAATGTAATAATACTATGAAACAGACGCGGACCTGCCCGGAGACTCCCGGTTTTGATGCAGATTCCTGGTCTCCCTGTGAGTCGCGAGGCTGTCTCGGCAACTGAGTGCAGACGATGTGAAATCAGTGTAGTCGGTTTTCTAAGTGCATCTAAGGTATAAAGCACTGTCTGGAGGAAATACAGTAGAGTATATAGAGGTCGCTGGTAGATACCGCTCCAGCAGCCCTAATAAGGGTGTCTATGAAAAAAGACACTCACGGGCGACCGCGTCGTAGGTGTCCTTGTGTTGGCCGCCACAGGACAAGCTGGCTCGCTTCCAATTGGTGGTGACGGTAGCGGTGGCCAGAAAGACCAAGCCTTCTTAATCCGATCCTGTCTGACAAAATTGGAAGGTTGCCTTACAGTTCGGCGTTGGTTACTTGATCTCGCTAACAGGGGTTTAGGACACGGCGGAGCATGCGAGTATAAGTTCCATTGAGGGATTTTTCCATAGGGACAGTAAGTGGCCACACCTCGCAGCTATAGAGCAAGACAGACTCTATAGTCGCTTGAAAGATCTCTAGAAAGATTGGATGAGTATTTAAACTTTTTTAGTATGTCTACTTACCACGCCAGAAATGAAATCGGAAAGAAGCATTAGGAAAGGTTTGTGTGTATAAAGTGAATAGTTTTCTGGTTTAACCAGATGACATTGTTTATCATTGTCTTCCTTCTCGGTAGAGTTTGGCGACACATCTCTTCTCCTCCGTGAAAAAGAAACAGAAAATTTCGCTGGGACGAGCGATGAGGAACTGTTAGGTTTGATAACTGAAACATTTTGAGGGGATTCCAGCGGAAGCTCCTCTCCTGTGCTTATCGCTTGCGGGATGACTACAAAACACAGTGTCAGAATGAAGATATAAATGTTCAGCTGTAAAAGCCACTTGAGGAACGTGAAGTAGGAGAGAACACCATTTCCAAATGAACCTAAAAGGCAAACAAAGTAGCCCTTGGTAGGATATAGAGAGATTGTCCTTGAATTATTGAATAGAAAATGTTTTAAGGTTTCCCAAACAATGATAAAATCCTCAAGGTCGAGGTTGTCAGCCAAGCTAAAGGGCAAGGCTAGCTAAGGCTGGTGATACTGACCGAGACCTTGATTACTCCGGATATCACAGAAAACAAATCTAGAGTAATAATAATTATTAGTAGTAAAATGCAACTAGTGGTCTATTATCAATGCTGCGTTCTGATTGGTTGAGCTACTGCTAGGCTATATGTTATAGCCCACTGGTAGCGAAAAGCGCGGGCTTTTTGGCGGCAAAAAAGGGTTAAAGTCTAGCTTTTACCAAGCTAAATTTTTTTTATTCTCGATATTTTTGACCAACTAGTTGGATTTTACTAAAACAATTATTCCTCGAGCCCGAATGGCCTCTGAGTCAATAGCCCATTTGGCATGGGCGCGCAACCTATAGATTAGCCTGAGTTAGTTGAGCTCTAGGCTGTTAGCAGCTGAAAACTAACTAATCTGTAAGTTGCGCTGTACAAAATAAAACTTACGGTTCTTAGCCAATGAGAAGCCAGAAATTGGTTACAATGTATAATAAAGGGGGATACTGTGTAAAAAAAATTACAAGATACGAGGAGCCCAGTCTCGCACTTTTCGGGCGCTTTTCAAAGTTGTTGCCGGCTCGAAGTTTGGATATACAATAGTCTTTATTTGCTCCTAGTAGGTCCAGGTTTAGCCGAGCAGATAATGCCTCAGGAACGTGGATGGCTTCTGCCGAGTTTATTTCTGTTTTTTTAAGACGTTCATTAAAAGAACAATTTTAATTTAACCCCAAGCAAAAACTAATCATACAAATACTTTCATTACCTTCTATCTCTTTAAAATGACCTCTCCATAACTCGTAGGAGTTCAGGAATTCTTTCGTTGCGCTGAACCATTTCTTAAACCGCTAAACAAACAGAAACCTCATTTCAGTGACACATTAATTTTAGAGGAACCCCACATTCTTCGACGCCTGGCGAGGAAATAAGACAAGTTAAACTAAATCTATAACTTAACAGTATAAGGCATTAGTATGGAAGAAGCTGTTCCAAGGCCCTCTGTAACGATATGATGTTTGATGTTTGATGTGTTTTATAGTTGACTGTGTCATTCCAGCATCATGCCAGCAGACTGCATAGAGACATTACGAATACGTATCAGTTCTGTGGGTAAATTTGCAGTACTGGCTCCAGTTGTTCGAAAGGTGGATAGCGCTATCCACCGGATAAATCTCTGGCCAGTGGATAGCGCAATCGGTTTTCGTAATACTCATCCTCTGGATAGCGATTATCCGGTGGATAGCGTTAACCAACTTTTTGAACAAGTGGGGCCTGGACCTCAAATTAATAGCGGCAGGAGCCCATAATAAGTCTTCGGCTTACCATGGCGATATTAAGTCTTAAAGCTGTGAATGAAGACAGTCCTCGTGATTCGCTATCTTCTGTAGAACTCCTGTTAAACAAAAAAAAAAGGAAGAAAAAACTTTTTGTTTAGCCATGAAACAGGTTGCAATAGCATTCTTTGAAAATTTTGCCTTTTATTTTCCGAACAAATCTCACCCAATTTTAAGCCAACACTTAATAGTGTGAAAACGTGTTGAAATGTTAAAATAATCTTCAAGTTGTAAACGAGAGCGTTTGTGGGCTGTACCTCAGCACTGGCATCATATATTCTATAATTTTTAAAAAAGGCCAAATTATGCCAAGCTGCCAGACATTCATTAAACTCAATTTTTTTGCTATTAATAGGAACCCCTCTGGAATATACAGTTAACACCTATTAAATGAAAATTATTAAAGAAATAAGGGCTTTTAACACAAATGCCGCTTTTCTAAATAGTACTTTACACATGATGCTTTGAAACTTTTGGCAACTGAGGAGAGCCTTCTGTTACGTCTTTTATAGATGTTATCGGCAATGCAATTTATGCTAAAATATCACTCCTTCATCCAGGGTTGACCTGTTATTATTATTGATATGGTTTCTGTTTTATTTTACAATTCCCTTAGTACCTTCTCTTTCTCACCCGCAGAATTTTTACAGCTAAAGGTTCAGTTTGAACAAATTTTCCCAGTTTGTCCGTGCGTTTGGTACTTTCAAAGTCATGCTCTTCGTCAGAGTCTTCGTTATTGATGGCTTCGTAGATTTGACCCCTCGTTCGGTCTCGCTCTTTCATTTTCTTACGCGCTCGATGCTTCCAAAGCGATAATTGTCGACTGGGAAGAGTTTTTAAAACGTTTGCTTTCTTAACTCCATCATTATCGTCATCTGAAATGATAAAATAAACTTGATATTACATATTTCACGCAGTGAGGATCCCAAGTACATATTAAACTCAAATGTCGAACTGAAAAATAATACAAGATAGGTGATTTAATGGACAAATACCGTAGAAGTTGCAAAGATTTCTAAGCAACAAGGGTATTTTACAGAACTTTTTAATAACAAAAAGTTGCTCGAGCTCAAAATTATCTTTTCGATAAGATAACCACGATTTAGAATAGCCTCTTACGAAAGCGGAATTCATAAACTTTACGGGCTTGGGTCAACGTCGTTATAAGCCAAAGGGAGTGGACTAACCATAACATGGATAACTAAGCGGCTAGTTCCTAGGCCTCTAAAATTACTGCCGGGCTAAAAATTAAACAGTCATTAAACAGGCCTTGCGGATAACACCCTCCGGCCCCCTAGCCTGCGAAAACATCCGTTTCTCCTCGCTCTTCACCGCTGAGGACGTTTCGCGGGGAGGAGCGACGTTCCTCCGCGCGAAACGTCCCCAGTGGCGAAGAGAGAGGAGAAACGGATGTTTTCGCAGGCTACCGGCCTCCTCGATCTGCATAATTCTTCTTTTTCATTAATTGTTTTATTAATTCATACTGTTAGAGTAAACTGAAACCTTCTTTATTACCTCGATCAACGTATAAGTTCACGTCATTCATTGGCCTGTTCCTCGCATAATTCACGATATATTAAAGTATGTTTAGTGTAACAGACATTCTTCAAAAAGCAGTTGTAATTCGTCGAGCTGTACTTTTGCTGTTCTTGCTCAGATTTAGGCAACAGTTCGGCTATTTCTTCTCCCCAAATCGTATGGAATTTCCCGCCATTTTCTCTAGCTACTGTAGTTGAGGTAACCCAACCTCGTCCCCACGTTGCCGTGCGTTTTTGCTGTTGTTATCCTGAACCAATGATGTCATTACAAACGTCTTTCAAAATTAGTCAATGCTAGATAGTTATGAAGGATTTACCAGGGAATTTGGCCAATTAGAAGCGGACAAATATTTTGAAAATAACTGTTTCCTTTTACGTGACTATTCAAAACGAAAACACAATCAACGACGAATTAAATCTCCTTACTGATGAATTAACGTTCGTAAATTATTCGCATTTATTAATCCTATTTTGAAGTAAAAACAGACTGTATGTATCCCAAGTTAAAACAGCCGTATTAAATAACAAACATCATCAGCGGGTAACCTGTTTTTGCAAGCCATTATGGTGTAGTACATTCAAGAGACGAAAAACTACCCGACCGATCCCAGCAGTCGGTCGACAGAAAACTGAATACGCGTCAGGTGCGTTATACCAAAAGAGATTTTATCGCCATAGCACTGTTTTATTATGAATGTTTTTTTAAATGAAGAGTTTCAAACACGTGCGTCGAAATCCGAAATAGATGCATGTTACAACCGTATAAATCAGATTTTAAAATTTCTTGTCCTACGTCCAGTTCAGCAAAACGACATCTTACAACCCAGCTACAAATCCAGAAACTCACGTACCTTCGTTGAACACACTTAGCTGTGAGTCAAGGCTTCTCGTCTCTTGAGGGTCATCCATCTTCCAAGACTGAATTTAACAAATTTGATTTGTTTTATCACTGTTTTATCAGGTAGGAAACAATTCTACCATATTTGGCTCTGGCAAAAAAATTAACATAGTAAAAAATCCTTAATTCTATGCCTTTTTTTTTTCGTCACAGTTATCCCACTCAAATATGCAGATACAGCGACACATTGGACAAACAAAACATAGATTTGATACAGCAAGGGTGAAAGCTCTACTTGATTAAATGGAATTTGCATAACATTTTTTCCTTTAAAAAGATCAGATTTAAATTAATCCCCTTGCGAGTTCGTTCAAACGTAATTAAACCGTTGATCGATCTCCGCCGACCTTAAAGAAATCCAAGAAGGGTCAAACAAGGCAAGATTCTTCCAAATATTAATAATTTGTGGTCATAAAAGTAAGCACCTATATAACCAGAATCAGAATAGACGGCAAGTCATGTCAAGATCCAGCCGCGCTCATAACAAAAATATAGAAGTGACCAATTTTTAAAACACAAACTAGTGAATCACTCAACCTGTTCAAATATTTACCGGTTTGATACATCTTTCAACTGGTAGATAGTTGATAATTTTTTGGCGTTTTATTAACCCAGTAAAATTCTTCCCTAACCCCAGAAACACCCAGTAAGTTAAAATAGGGTCTTATTTCATGGTTTTGACCGCAAATTTTCGCAGTGTTAAGCAAGTGTTACTGGATAAATGCAATTAGGATGTCTTGGAGAGCGATGAATTTTTATAGACAAATGATTTCCAAAACCTGTCTTATTGTTCATGTATAATTAAGAGAGCGAGTCCACCACACGAAAACACAGAATTTTCCTAGCCTGTCAAGAAGATATTTTCCGCCTGCAAAGAGGAGGCACTTGTTCCAGGAGGCGGCCAAGCGACTAATCTACATTGCTGCTAGACTTACCATTAAGTTGCTAAGACGCCTCTTTTGCTTAAAAGAATCTTATAAAAATTATGAATTACTATTTTTGAAAAAAGGTGATTCATTTGAAAGACTAAATAAGGCGGTTTCACACAGCACAGGAATTGGGTTGTTTTGTCTTCCTATCCTTTTGACGTCATTTCTGTCGAACAAAATACACACGTAAATGAATGACTGAATTGTGGAGAGATCAACCTCGTTGCCTGGGGACCGGAAGATGGTTGAGACTGGGAACGAAGTTGAGGATTATTCTCTTGTGTTTCTCTGATGTAACTCTGAGCCCGGTTCCTTGAAATATAGTCAAGATTATGACAACCGGAGTTTGAAATTTCATTTTATTGAACGCTTCTGTCTGACACAGCTAGTTTGAATGCCTTTGTTTTTAAACAACTTTTTTAGTACGAATTTGCAGATTCAAAGCCCCGGAAGAAAGTCGCCATTTCGTCCTCCCTATGTTGAGCCTTTACTCCGAGATCCAGTGATGATACTTTGAACTTTAGAAACGAGGAAACTGGAGCCGAAATGAGTTTCGCAATCGTCTCTGGGATTGTCACC